GTTCCTTATGTTCTGCATCTTTACTAACATTTGTTGCTTTCTAGCCATACTAATGGGAATGAGGTAGAATCTTAGTATCACTTTAATTTGCAATTTCATTATTGCCAAAGATATTGGGCATATTTTCCTTTTGAGAAGTATCTAATCAGTTCATTTGCTCATGATCTATTACACTTCCACAATTTTGTTACTTAAGAATGTTTTTAGTTTAACTGTTTATATTTACATGGTAAGAAATCATCGTTAAGATATGAAACCATCATGCTAGTGGAATTTAAATGAACACTTGCCCCTCCCCAGGCTTAAGAAGGAAATGGATCTGTATTCTTAACATTCATCTTTAATGAGTACTTCTGAAAAGTGTCAACGCTTTCTCAGTTTTCATTAAGCTTGTTTCTGTTATTAATGTTTGTTTCAACCCTTTACTTCGTGTTGTTGTTGTTGTTGTTTTTCCTTTTTTTCCTTTCAACACTTGGGAGTTTAGGAGGAGGCAAGAATGCTCAATAGGAAATGTACTCATTACCTTGCTCATGTAACTATAAACCCTCTGTACAACATTTTTACGTTAAATAAACATACAAAAAAGGAAATAAATTCCTTGCACAGATCCTCTTAAAGTAAAATTTGAAATAGGTATATTAAGTTGATATTTGCATGGTATAATACACCACAGCCATTAGACCAGCCAATGTTACTATCCATAATTAACAGTATACCAACCTTTACTTTCACCCACTAAGGGAGAAAGATTTGAATAAATACAAGATCAGTGACCTCATAGATAGTCCCTTTCACATGATGATGCATTTCAAAAAAGAGTTAGACTTACTTTAACTTTATAATGTGTAGCTATGCTCATCTCTTTGTAGAAAAAGACAAGCTTTCTAAAGCAATAATGATGGTGAGGTTGGCATAAAGTAATGCTCATTGTTTGATGGTTTCCAGTATTATGGTCCAAACTCTGGGCCTTGTACTTGCTTACTTGTTTGGCTTGTTTTCTCAACTGGTGCTCTACCACCTGGGTCATACCTCCAACCAAGACTTTTGTTCATTATTTTGGGCATGAAATCTTGCTGAGTTTTCTTCTTGAACTGGCTTTGAACTTCAATCTTTGCACCAGACTTCATGTACCTAGTATATAGGCCATGTAATTGACCAGTACCTATTTCAAGTATTCAGAGACTGTGCCCAATAAATTGTGTGCTATGTGAATAGTCACACTTGGATATGGGCAAAAGCCAGGTCATTAATATTTCCTGATGTCCATTCAGTCTTTAAAACATTAACAATAGAAAATTCTAGGCTGCTGAGTGTATGCAGAATATCCAGACTATGTGAAAGGAGGTGTTTTGCTTTGAGAATTTGCTTAAGAATTCTAGTGATAGCAACAATAAAAATGCCTTTTAAGTACATTTTTATGGACAAGAATCTCGGTAGAAAGGACTGACAGCAGTCTAACCAAGGATGCCTGGACAAACAGAAAGAATGATGAAAGATTGAAGTAGAATACTAGAGTCCAGTATTGAGTTGTGAGAAACAGACTATTTGGGAAAAGATGTATTGTCATAGCAACAGGTCCAAAGATACAATGTCCCTGACTAGGAGACTATGAAAAGCAGCAACTTAACAATAAAACAGAGAGAATATTTTCTAAATAGTTAAGCATAGATGGAAGAAAATAAAGAACATTCAAAATGCTACCTTTTCTGTTGCTCTAAAATGATAGTGCTTTAATATAGTAAAAGGTGAAAGATCAGATTCAGTAGATAGCATAGAGGTTGTGCTGAATAACTTTCAAGATGAAAGCATTACCAGGAGACAGTATTATTCTCTCTCATTTTCATCTGAAACCTAGGAAAAACAATTCTTTAGTAACAATTCTTTTAGACATTGCCCAATAGGCTCTATTTAAATTCTAGCTTTATTAGTTACGAGTTTTATACATCCTAGAAGAAACATCATATTGGCACTAAAGTTTTCTTACCCCTACAATTCAGATGCTAATACAAATTTCATGGAATTATTTTAAGTCTATTTTACATGTGAACAACATTGGCACAAAATGAACTCTGGCCAAAAAATAAAAACTACCATCAAGAATTCTGGCCGAAGAGTGAGGGCAATCCTACATCACAAATAAAATGAGACTCAAAAGTTAAATGGTTTGAAATGCTGATTACACTTTACTGATAGGAAATTTAAAAAAAAAACTGCTAAGAGTTGTTAGGTCTCCAGAAACAGATTAATCTGAAAGTTATTCAAGATTAGGATTAAGAAAGCAACAATGCCTCCATAACCTAAAATACAGTCTTTCCAGGGGGGAGTTTAGCTGCAAGATGGAGAGAAAGTGGGATAAAGCAACGCAAGATGGAACAACAGACAGGAAAATGAAAAAGACAGAACCGCAGTGAATATCTGAGGAAATTGTGCCAGGCCCCTTTCGGGAACAGGATTGATTCCACACCATTTGCCTCAGCAAGAGGAATTTTGTTATGTCACTGTTGAGATTTCAAGAAGGAAATCTTAAGCATCTGTATTTATAGTGTGAGATGTTTGTAGTTTTTATGCTACCAACAATGTAATTTCTACTAAAAAAACTGAGAGAGAATGAGAGAGGGGGTGAGGAAATGTACCCATTACCACAATAAAATGTAAGGAAAAGAACTTTAATAAAAAATTTAACAGATGAATGGATAAAGAAGATGTGGTGCATGGGGCTGGGAAGGTGGCTCAATGGTAGAGCGCTTGCCTTGCATGCATGAGGCCCTGTGTTCGATTCCTCAGCACCACATAAGCAAAAAGAAAAAACCAGAAGTGGTGCTGTGGCTCAAGTGATAGAGCACTAGCCTTGAGCTGAAGAGCTGAGGGACAGCGCCCAGGCCCAGAGTTCAGGCCCCACGACCAGACCTCCCCCCCAAAAAAATGTGGCATATGCACATGCATATATACATAAAGTATTATGGAAATTCTACCACTTGCAACAAAACTTCTGAAATTGAACAGTATTGTTTTAATTGCAATAATTGCAATAATCTAGACAAAGAGTAATAGCCATCATATGCCCTCTCTCGTATTTGGAATATAATAGAGAAAACAATATCCTAAATATCCAGCACAGATTACTGGAGGTTGGAAAGGCAAGAGAGGCTAGGTTGGATCAGTGCATGCCATGTGCACATAGGTAGCATAATGAAGATTTTGTAGTAATATTCTAGCATTTACTTATATCTAACATTTTATAGAAATAACATTTTATTTTCTAAGCTCTTTCATGATGAAGGACATTAAAGTACAGCTATATACATATGACCATATAGGATGATGTTAAAAGAAATGAACCCCAAGATAGGGACACATACATTTTTTTCTTCCTTGCTATTGTTTCCAACATATTTATAATGTACCATGTGATATTGTTGTTTCTTTGTATGTTCCTCCCTCAAGGTATAACCCCTGTTTTCACTGTATTTGATGTCTGTGCACCGCATCTTGTATATACACTTCTCTAATTCGGGGAGGGGAAGTGAAAAAATAAAATGCTTAAATAGGGATCCAGGTTGACCCATTGTAACAATGAGATGTACAAGACACTATGTTGAAAGCAAACTTTTCAACTTCGGCGGGGGGGCAGGGGGGGAAGGGGTGGTAGTTGTAAAGGTGGGAGGGAAGGGATGGGAAGGAAAAACAAAGGAGGAGGCAACAATGCTCGATAGGAAATGTACTCATTACCTTACTCATGTAACTGTAACTCCTCCTTACAGTATTTTTACAATAAAAATGACAAAAAAAAAGATAAAGTATCTGTGGTCCAAGTGAGTGCGTTATGTCATTGCAACATTGACAAAGGTAACTAGAGTTGGTTTTCGTTGGTATTGAAAATATTTTTAAAATGGGATGTTATGAGGGGGTAATAAGGACAGAGAAAATAGGATAAAAATGAGGGACGAGGTAACAAGTTTACAAGAAATATCTTTATTACTTTTCATAAGCCGGGCGCCGGTGGCTCACGCCTCTAATCCTAGCTACTCAGGAGGCTGAGATCTGAGGATCACGGTTCAAAGCCAGCCGAGGCAGAAAAGCCCATGAAACTCTTATCTCCAATAAACCACTAGAAAACTGGAAGTGTTGCTGTAGCTCAAGTGGTAGAGCACTAGCCTTGAGCTGAAGAGCTGAGGGCCAGTGCCCAGGCCGAGAGTTAACCCCTTTGTACATCACCTTGATAATAATAAAAAATGTGATGTTAGTTTGTTAGTTTCACAATAGTGAACATGTTCAACAACCATAGATTGTATGCCCTTGATGAATAAAACATATATTGTATGTACTGTCAGTAAACGGTTTACCAAAAAAGTAACATATCATAAATGTTTGGTCTTGATAGCTACCACTACAGGTTGTATGAAGAAATTTTGGTTCCATTGTTATGTTTTAACAATCTAAAAAAGAAAGCACTGCATCTCAGTTGCAAGCATGATGCATTCAGCCCATCCCCAGCGCCAGCCTCCGAATTTTCAAGGTCATCCAGAGACTCACAAATGTCCACTGACTCCCTCTGGGTTTCTGTTCTTTTTCTCTTGCTACCAGCAGCTGTTTAAGGAAAGCCGAAGTACAAATTCTAATTGTTTGCTGACATAAAACACTCTAGTTACTAACACACGCTAACCTTTCTCTGCCTTCATTGCTTGGACGGTAGTCATTATTGCAGAGTTTCATAACGCTAACATTTCTGGGTGATTTTCTACTTGCTCATTCTCTGGATAAGTGTAGTTCCACTGCTCAATGGATTGGGAGAAACTGGGATTCTCTGTTACCCACTGTCTGAGATACATTCTAATATAGGAAGTGTGACCAGAGTTCGCAGTTAAAATACTATCAAATTATTTGCTGCGATTATATTTGTTTAGGTTAGAGCCCTCAATTTTACAGATTTTTATCTTAATATTTCCTCTTCTCTTTCCTGCTTCCTCCCTCCCTCTTCCCCTTTCCCTTTCTTTCTCTAGCTTTAGATCCAGCTAAAGATCCATGCTTGAAAATGAAATGTAGTCGCCATAAAATGTGCATTACTCAAGACTCTCAGACTGCAGTCTGCGTTAGTCATCGGAGGCTTACACACAGGTAAACACGGTTAAATTAAATCCTACCAATTGAACAGTACTTCTTGCCAGAAATCATGGTACAATATAAATATTTGGCAGTGCCTGCCAATCTTTTATGCAGAGTTTTGTTGAAACAATTTCAGAAGCTTGGATAACATAATTGTGATTCACTTGGGCTAAATATTGTTATCAGTCAGAATTCCTGTGGATTATAGGATTTCAGGCATATATTATTAAATAAAATAGACTTGCAATGCTTGGATTAAAACTGTTATATATTTGGCTATTTGTGCTTTGACAAGTTAAAAGGGTAAATGAAACTTCTGTACCTCCAGATATCCTTGTTTATGGCTAGTCAAGTTTCTCTGTTTCAGGGAGGATTTGGAAATATAGTTAAAGAAGGAAAATTAGTTTATATTGATCACATTACAAGCATTGAAAGCCACAGCATAAAGAATTGAACTGGAACATTAAGAATTTCTGCATTAGGAAGTTCTTATTTCAACTGAAGGAAAATGCAGGAAATCTAAATGGAGGAAATCCAAACAGATTCCCTCAATTTATTCTCAGAAGTCTGGAGTAAAATTCCTGCAGAAGAAGGAAGGATATTGAGCATGTTTCACAACTACCATTGTTTTGGATGGCCAGGTCTGCTTTGAGAAGGAAGAGTAATTTAGAACTTGATAATGCAGTTTGGTGCTGTTTATTGAGGACTGGAATAAGCTATGCTCAATGCAGTCACTTGGGAATCGGCTGAAGCATAGAGATGCATTCATTTCCTGTATGACATATACAGGAATTCTCTTCGGTGAACCATTCCTTTAAAAATCAAATTAACAAGAAAATATTGCTACTTGTGTATTCTTGGAGGATAATTGCATTGCTTTTGAACTGGCATAAAACTTCTATCATCAAAATTCACCGAGAAGTGGAGAAAAATTGCATTAAGCAAAAAAAAAAAAAACCTATCAATTGCTAGAAAGTAGAAAACATTTCAATTTAGGGAATAGATAGAAGTAAAGTTAAGAAAGAAAATTAATTTTCCTCTGGTTTACATGCTGAATTCCACATTGGAAAAGGTCTTTATCCTGTAACTTCGTATCTACAAGGGCAGATACCCAGTACCACGGGAGATATGTAGTAATGGGAGAGAAAGAATCATAACACACTATCAGTGTAGTTGTAGAAGTAAAGGAAAGAAACACAGGAGCAGGAGAACAACAGTCTAGTTTGAAATGCGAAGAAAGAATGACATCTTAGCTATCACATTTCCATAAAGTCAGTGTATATGGGGAAGGTACAAAACCAGATAAAACAGTTATCAGTAATTTACCCCATCAATCTTAATTTCCTTTACAAAGGAACAGAAACCTCTAGGCCACAAATGTTTTTTTCAGCTTAATTTGTTATGATCCCAAAGGGCTCCTGCTTCACATAGAATTCTTATTGATTAATTTACTTTTAAGTAAATATTACTGGCTGTTGATAGCTCATGCCTGTAATACTAGCTAAACCGGAAACTGAGATCTGAGGTTCGAAGTTCAAAGCCAGCCTGGCAGGAATGTTTGTGAGACTCTTATCTCTTATTAACCACCAAAAAGGTGGAAGTGGAGCTGTGGCTGATGTAGTACAGTGTTAGCCTTAGAAACCCCAACCCCTCCAAAAAAAAAAAAACCCAACACCAAAAAAACAAGCCAACAACTTAGGGACAATGCTCGGGCCCTGAGTTTAATCCCCAGGACCAGTGTATGTTCATGCGTACACGTACACACACACACACACACACACACACACACACACACCAATATTTAGATATATGTGGGAAGGAGAGCGAAGAGTTTAGTTTGAGAAATCAGTAAGAGGAAGATGCAAATGACTTCATGTTTGATCCTAGCCTAAGTGGCAGAGTTAGCCAAAGTGTTTAATTTAAAAGCAAAATTTATTTTATCACTGGTTCTGTAATCCCCGGTAAACGTTGCCATCAAATGTAACCCCTTGGAAAGAGTAAATTAACAACTCCAAATTAATATCATGTTAGTGGCAGAGACTTACTCCTTTGGCCACTTGTTAAAACCTAGACTCAAAATTGTCAAGGGAGGAAATTCAGAACAGTAATTCTTAACTATCTTTATTGTGACCAAAGTCTATTCTTTTAATAACCAAGCTGTCTCCTTACAAAGACTTAACTATAGACAGAAACTTTCTCTACATGGTAGAGATTATCAGAACCAATAACTGAAATATTACTTAATATTCCAGATACCAATAATCAATGTAGAGAGCTAAAACATCCTGAACAAAAACCCAGTCAAAGCTTTGTCTCAGGAAAGAGTGGAATGGCACATTAAAGGGCACTAATAATCTCTAGCTAGGCAGGTATCAGTGTTTAGTGAAAGTATGATTTTGGTCTTGTTCTATGATTGACAGTCACTATCAAAAAACTGGCACTCAGTGTATACTCAGTACACAAATAATTGCTTTGAAAAGCATTGGTATTAAGATTAATACTGGACATGGTTTATTTGCTTTGAGGATTTTTGTACATAGTGAAGGTTTATACAACACTTACACAAAGAGGAGTCAGCTGCCAGGAAGTTGGATCAATAAAAGTAGCCAACATAAATAATCTGAGCTTCAACATTTGCAGATAGGATTGTATGTTGTAGTTATGCTATATATATATTAGTAGTCTTAGGGTTTTGAACACAGGGCTTCGAGTTTGCTAGGCTGACATGATCATTTACATTATCTACACAGGAAATTGCTACTTATATCAATGAACACTCTATTTTCTTCCTTTTATTTCCTCTTAATGAGAAAGGGAATGGGAGGCAGTGTTTACTTCTATGGGAGTGAGGAAGATCTTGCATTACACAGAGGATTCTCTAAGCTGTTTCCCGCTAAAAATAAAAGAAGAAATTACACATTTTCATCATTAACATAGAATGTTGAACTACTTACTCTCTAATGATTTATCTGACATCAGTCTCCTTCAGTTGACTTGACATTACTTGAAGGTCAGGTCTATGTCTTGTTCAATACTACAGACTCAAATGTTACAGGCCAATTATATATATATATATTAAATACAGGCCAAATATATATGTGTGTGGAACACTATGTGCTTACGTGGTTTTTTTTTTTTGGTGTTTTTTTCTTCCAATCCTGGGGCTTGAACTCAGGGCCTGGGTACTGTCCCTAAGCTTCTTTTGTTCAAGGCTAGCCTTCTACCAGTTGAGCCAGAGTGTCACTTTGGGCTTTTTCTGTTGAAGAATCAGACCCAGGGCTATGTGTATGTGTGTGTGTATGTGTGTGTGTGTGTGTGTGTGTGTGTGTGTATGCTAGACAAGCACTCTATCACCTCACCAAGCCACATTCCCAGCCAAGTTTTGACAAGTATTTGATCATTGAAATATTTAGCCGAGATCAATATGTGTATGTGATCTATTGTTTCCTATATGACTTGTGCATAGGCATGGAAAGTGAGAGGAGATATTGGAGGTGACTAACATTTACTTTGAAATAGTTTTAAAGTATTTTATTCAGTTCTTTAAATGCAAGAATGCACAGTATATAGAGAAAAAGAAATCCACAAAACATTGGTTTCAAAAAATAGGTAGATCCTTGGCTTGCATTTGTAAAAGATTGGATAATCAGCAAGCTTTTTTTTCTGTTACAGTGCTTTAAAAAATAATCATCCTCCAAAAATCACAGAAATATCCCTATTATGTGACCCATTACAGGTTTCATTCTAGCTCTGTCCACTACTACCAACAGAGAGGGTAATATGAACCGTCCATGAACATCAGAATCTAAGTCATGTATTTGGATTTGTCTCCTAATGAGATTTTCTCTAATGATTTGGCCTTAAAGCAGCACAATATTTATGTTTTAGCACAGACTTTCTGTTACCATTATCATTACTAGCTAAACCACATAATTTCATCAATAAAGAAGATTTTCATGCACCATATTTTCCCATAGAGTAAAATGACCATCTAGTTTGATAGTTTATTATAAAATCTATGATGGAATTCTCAGACTTTACATATGATCTGTTGCTTATATTGTTATCTTGTATGTGGGGGGGGGGATGTTTTACAAAATCAGAAAGGCAAAGCTTTTTTTCCCCCTGTTTTTTTTAAATCTATTGTGAGTGAGATCCCAATGCTTTCTGCTCTCACCCAGGCCCGTGCAGCTGCAAATAATTAACACTATTTCTAGATCAGTGTGTCTGGCACCAATCGATGCTGCTGGGAATAAAAGAAAAATGTTTGGCATCATAGCTGAAAGTTGAAGTCATTATTGTAGGACAGAACTAGTCAGGGTAATTTCTCCCCCATTTACACCAAAGATTGGCAACAATGCCAACAGGTAAATACTCTTGGCCTCCTAAGAAGACATCACACCGAGAGGGAGGGAACTTACAAAAAATAGATAGCAAAAGAACACAAGTCCTAAAACTCTGATTTTAATTACACATTTTGGATTTTGTAGTTGGTGATAGAAAAAATCCAAATTTCATTACATGGTGATATGAGCAGAGTATTTCTGCTTGCGTTGTTCTATTATGGTAGTATTTAAGATATGAAGATTAAATCAGAGTTGTAGTTCCTATGGAGTTACTAATGTTTATTAAATTGAAATGAATTTATGATTACTGTAAAATTATTCTCCTTCTACTTATGTATCAGAAAGATTTAGTCTATGCTTTCTTGAGGAAGTGAAATCCAGTAGGAATTTCATACTTAATATGTGTAAAACTCTTCACTTAGTGCCTTAATTAATTTGCCTTGTACAACAATCAATATACTAAACATCATTATATCCATTTTACAGATGGAAACCAAAACTCAGGAATTTTTCTAGTAATTTATTCAAGATTAATTACTTGATGATATATAGGTAGAATAATAGACAGATAGGTAGATACCTACCTAGGTAGAAGACCTGAAATCATGTCTATGTTATTTATATGCATATTTCATTTTTGTAATCAAATGAATTTTGATTGTGTGG